AAGAGACATCCCAATCCAGAAAAGAGACAGCCTAGTCCAAGAAGGGACATCCCCATCCAGCAAAGAGAAAGAAATTCCTGTCCAGCAAAGAGACATTCCATCTTTGCTATATGGGGATGTCTCTTTGCAGGTTTGGGGCCATCTCTTTGCAGGATTGGGCCGTCTCTTTGCTGGATTGGGCCGTCTCTTTGCTGGATTGGGCCGTCTCTTTGCTGGATTGGGCCGTCTCTTTGCTGGATTGGGCCGCCTCTTTGCTGGATTGGGCCGTCTTTTGGCTCGATTGGGCCGTCTCTTTGAATATATAGGGAGCACTGTGATTACATCTCTATGGGCACTGTAATGTAAAGGGGCACTATGATATAAAGGGGATTGTTCTGTAAAGGGGCACTGTAATCAATACAGTGCCCCTTTGCAGTGCAGTCCCCTTTATATCACAGTGCCCCTTAATATTACAGTGCGGAGGACCGACTCCATGAATAGTCCATCACCAATTGCCTCTGTGAATGCCCTTGCACCCACGCCCCTCCCCCCCCGGAAACTGGCTGCTCAGTCTAAAATGCCCGGCGGGCCTATAGGAAAGTATGAGAGTTCTGTTTATGTAGTGCAACTTTGATATGACTTTACACTCTCCGGCACTCTAGTATCAACATTGTATCAAAGTTGCATCAAAGTAGTGCAGGAACCTTTAAGCGCTAGGGTTAGGGTTAAATGTTAGAGTTAAATGTTAGGGTTAGAGGTAATTGTTAAGGTTAGAATGTTAGCCCTAACAATTACTGCTAACCCTAGTGATTACCACTAACCCTAACCCTAAAATGCAACTTTGGACACAAAGGTTTCTGCATGACTTTGATGCTACTTTGATGCTACTGGAGTGCCAGAGAGTGTAAAGTTACATCAAAGTCAAACAGAGCTCTCATACTTTCCTATTAGCCAAAAAAAACCCAAAGAACAAAATGCATGATGTGACACACAAAAAAATGCATCAACCTGCATAGATGTTAACCGAGCCTTAATCATACTGAAATTCAGCTAATCCTGCTGAACTCTCTGGAAGAAAAATCAGCAAGATAAGATTTGTTTTTGATTTGGAACACAAACAAGCAGATAGGATATGATATTGTATGCAATATGCATAATTCTCCAGTTACCTCTAACAACCAGGGTTGTTTTTCAGCTGGAACATAGTGGAACTCCTCTCCACCTCTGGCTCAGGCCCTCTGCTCCCTTCTCACCACTATCACTTGTAAACACAGAAGTTGGACTTCTGTGTTTACAAGTGATGGCTTGTGTCCCAGAGCCTCCCACAGATTGGACCTCCTGAGCAGACCTCCTGGATGATCTCACTGCAAGTGAGAGAGAGCAAAGCCACCTACAGTGTGCAGGGAGGTATTAGAGCTTATGGGGTGCTTAAGCTTAGTACGGCAACAAAAGTAAGATACGTGGAAAATGGTGGAGCTTTTAAGGAGGGGGTGAAGATGAGGGAAGTGGAGGTGGGTTCTGTGCAGAGGTCAGAGCTGGAAGGGGGCAAAATGAGATGTCAATGGGGGATGCAGGGGTAAGCAGCTGTGCAAAAGGGCTTAACTCTGCACTCTGTATGTAGTGCACCGTTTGAACTCTGCACTCTGTATGTAGCACACCCCTGAACTTTACAATCTGTGTGTATTGCACCCCTGAACTCTGTACCCTGTACCTAGTATGCCCCTAAACTCTGTATGTAGTGTACCCTTGAACTATGCACTGTGTGTAGTGCACCCCTAAACTCTGCAATCTGGTCATAATGCACTCCTGGTATTTAATGCCCCTTTAGGACCCCCCACCACACCACCACCACCGTTATTGAAATTTGGCCAAATCTACTATTTGATGCCGCTTGGCTGGCGTGTGTGTGGGAGACATGGTTGAGTTCCTGAGACAAAAAAAGCTATTCTAACAACCATCTAAGGTATTATATACAGTATAAAAATTTACAAACAGTTAATGTACAGTGTGGCAGAACTGTATAATATACAGTAGACTTCACCAAGTAGTGGAAATGCATATTAATTTTTGTACACTCTAAAAAAGCCATACTCAGCTAGGGTTCCATGGAAACGCAGGGTTCTTCCACAGGTTGCTGGGTTTTCCTTGAGCTGTGGCTAATTGACCTCCCATCTGATGATGCCTCCATAAGTCCATGTCTATCACCACTTGGCAGAGCCAGTAGCAACACAACAATGATCTTCAAAAATGTCTATTAAAGGGTGGCATTCTAACCACCACTGTAAGGGCTTGTTCATGTGTACATCAATACCATATGCTTAGGCAGCATTTATTCAACATTTTTAAAGCCTCAGAACCTCCCGGTGTCTACAGAGTCTACAGAGCAGCCATGTGGTAACACTATTTGCTTCTGTGTGCAGGCAAAACCATCAAGCCATCCAGATATTCTGGTGGTGCCAGACAGGAGCAAAGGCAGTGAGCATTTTTGCAAGCTTTTGGTATTAGCAAAGTTGACCTGGACCAAGCCAAGTGTCAAAGAGATCAATGTATAGGAATCCATCCTGCAGAGATTTTACAAAAATGTCTATAACACCACAACCTAGCCACACCTTAAAGTAGATAATTTCCTCTACATCACTTCCCACTTATGAACATCTCACTAGAAAGGCAACACCTTCATGGACATTTATCAAGCATTCTTGAAGCTAAAGGCACGTTAATAATCATTGCTTCATTCTTCATAATCAACACACTTGTGAACGAGGCCTTAAGGGGAAATTTTTTCCACTATTTACCAGTGTAAGGGGAATTTTCCTAATGAACCCCAATGGACTAATCCTAGCAGGGGTCCCTGAGATGGGAAAATAATTTAAATATTTCCTCTGGGATAAAAAGTTTGAGAAAGGCTGATTTATAAGGGGAATTATCAAGGAAGTAGTGTCATGACGATCAGGGACTTCTCTTCACATAAAGGCAGGCCATAGATAGAGCAAATTTTTTCATATATAAGGAAAACCAATAAACACAGTGACCAGTGCAGCGCTACAATATAAAGTGAAATCACAACATATATTAAAAATTATATATACAAAAGTCTAATCATCTTTTGCAAGCACCAAGTGCTCCAAAGCATATAAGTATATTATTCCACCACCAGATGTCTGCTCACCTCCAGAAGTGTGACCTCACATAATATTATGTTTGGTCTTACTGTACTTTTGGTCCCAAATTGGGCACTGAAGATCAACTTGATGAATTTCAACAATGGTTCACACCTTGCCCGGAATACAACTCCCACCATCACAACACCTCAAAAACAAAAGACTCCACATAGTGCGTAAACTTCAAAACATTTTAATATCTCAATATTATACAAAATGCGCAATCACATGTATTAGGTGCCCAACTTCACCAGGTAAAATAAGCCTCTGATTATATAAATTGCTCTGCTATCTATGGAACTGTGCCATGCGGAGTCAGCAGTAATAGGGCTTAAGCAGTGGGTCATCCGAAATTACCAGGTGTAGATCAGTAAACACCGCGATGTCTTCTCCGTAGAGCATTGTCGTGTCATCCAAAGCTCCTCCTCGACACGTTTCGTTGCTCGTCACGTGACTTTCTTAAGAGGAATGTGATTGGATCATCCAATGCTGAACAGTAATATATAGACCCCCGACGTCATGTTGTTATGGATGATTAAGGTGCACCATTGTACCGTAGCTCATAAGCTATCCTGATGAGACTTCAACTGAGAATGAATACTTTATCAAATCGGGATGAGCTATCACTACACAGAACAGAACCGCAGATCTCCGGAGTAAACAAACAATACTTGATTTAATAATTTTTGCATACATAATAAATATAAATATTCATATTTTCTCCCCTCCCATAGACTACAATACCAACTATCATATACAAAATAAAATACATGTAAAATACATTCTAGAAATTTGCATTTAAATCAGTACTAATCCCCACAGTGACCTAGGGATTTGATAAATTGGAAATCAAAAACCTAGGTCATTGTCATAACCTTAAAGGGGTATTCTAGATACTAAAGGGGTATTCTAGATTTTACATACTAAACTAAAAAAAAAAATAAAACAAAAAATTATTTAAATTATTACTCCTAATACACCACTAATAATCACTTAAACAATTTAAATCAAAATCTTTATTCATTCCTCTTGGGGCCAAGGTTCTCAACTCATGGATGCAGAAGGACTCCATTTTACTCAGCTCCATAATCTTATTGCCACCGCTCCAGTTTCTTGCAAACCTGAATAATCCTTATGTGCATCCAAAAAATGTCTTGATACAAAATGTTTAGGAAACCCCTTACTATTATTATAAACATGTTCCTTTATCCTTTCTCTTAATGTCCTTTGTTTCCTGCAACCCAAAAAAATGCACTGAATTTCCCCATCAACACAGTGAGTGTTGACAGGGGAATCCCTCCTGCCGAGCGATTGTGTTCTCCTGGCAAGGTGTGTATGTCTCTGCATGTGTGTGTGTGTGTATGTGTGTGGGGGGGGGGTGTTGCCATCCCCACTCAGAGAAGACTGTGTTTGTTGCTAGTGGCTATAATAGCCCTTCGATAATCCCATGTAAAATTCGTCCAGCTGATTGTACCCAGGTTGATCGATCAACTTGGGTACATTCAACCTGCCCATACATGGCTCGAACCGTCTATGACCAACTTTAGACATTCATTTTATTTGGCTTCCCCTTATCTTCCTGATACCTTCCTGATACCCATCAGCTCTGATGGATCCGTTGGTCCTCAGGATCCCAAGATGCATAGGGATACATGTAGGGTAATTTGGGGGAAACACAAGGTAAAGCTATTTTAGACCTTTGTAGGGAGTAAAGCAAATATACTGCGTTGCTCTTCTCCTAGGGCATCTCTAATGTCCAGTTGAACAGCATGTAACCATTATAGGATTCAGACTCTTTGTCCCATATCAGTTCATACATTGACCATCACTGGTACTTAACTTTAGTGGGTGCCACTGCCTGAAACAGAAAGGGCAAATCTCAAGCTCTTCTTCTCAGTAACTGAGCTAATTTTCCTCTGGAATATTTTAAAGTCATGTTACTTTTATTAGCACATTTTTGCCTATGTACATTTTATTGGGAAAAATAATCTATTCTCTATTTTGTTTTACAGGGCCTTTATATTTTCTTGATTTATGCCATTTATAACAGTGAGGTAAGACCAACATACCCTGCCATTTTCCAGTAAGCTAGTCATATTACAATGAAGTTTAATTTGTTACTGATTACATTGCTTGTGATCTACTTTTTTGAATAAGTACATCTGAGATTTGTTTTTGAAAAACACATATACATATAAACATATATACACATCATCCAATCTAATTATTGTCAGTTTCTAAATATTCTAGTAAGATAACTAAATTCAGCTTCTTTGGCAGCTTGCCAATGTGACGCCAAAACCTGCCAGCCAACAGGCAGGTTATCAGTACTCAATCATGTAGTCTTAGGAATCATATACAGGGGATGTAGTCAGTGGTGTATTTAGGTTTTGTGCTGCCCTAGGCAACAAACAAATCGGACCCCCCCCACCCCCCAGTGGAGAGAGCCTGACACTGGCGACAGAGAAAAAGACACTCACCTTCACAGCTCTGGACACCCCCAGGAACGACAATCAGGCTCTGCATACACCATCAAGCAGCCCACAGCCTCTCTCGGATCCAGCGTGGTCCCCATGCTGCATGTGTCCCTTCTTCCGGGGGGGCAGTGCTGCCCCCCTAAAAAATGCTGCCCTAGGCAAATGACTTGTTTGCCTTGTGGTAAATATGCCTCTGGATGTACTAAAGCATATGCCCAAGTACGGCCACGTTTACCTACAGGGGGATGCATAAGTATTCTGTGCGTCTCTGTTCAGACAGTCCTATTGATGTCAATTGGGGTGCTGAGGCTGCAGGGACACAGATGCTGCTTCCAATCTGAAATCCATGCAAGTGGGGATGCAGGGCCCCGAGCATACTCTGTCTGTGTTCAGGGCTATGCAAGTGCATGGATGTACCCATGGACTGAGCTGTGTTGTCAGCAAATAGAAAAAACAGTAGATTGGAAAAGAAAAGATGATGTTATTGTATCAGGAAGACATCACTCTCCAGGTATGGACATCTAACTTAGGAAGGTAAAGTGAATTTTAGCAGAGAGTTTTCACATCTGCTATCTAGTGAGCTATGCCATAAAAGAGGGAGCAATAAAGAGTTGGCAACAGCTGTTGCTCATAAATGCGTAGACGTCCATATGGTAGAACATTTTATAGGGTGATAATGATATGCCACATGCTGCAGCAAAATCTGGATGTGGCTTAATACATGTAGCACCCTCTAGCTTGTAGAATTTGTTTTTTTATTCAGAGGCTTGGTAGAATCCTGCGATGAGTCAGCCTGGGAATGAGGTAGAGAGGTTGCCTCAGAACAGGCCAGGAGGCTCTACAGGTCAAGGCTTCTGGAGGCCTTCCACTCTTCTATAAACTGGAGGAACTTTCTAGAAGAGGAGGGGAAGAAGCCTAGATTTGCATGTTTAGGGGAACATGGCCAATCCCTAGGCAGGAGGCTGGGCATGGTGGCTAAGAGCAACCTTTAAATGTGAGAGAGCCTGTGCAGTGGGTTGGTGTTGGAGTCAGGTGGAAGATGGACTGAGAGAAAGTGCTGGAGTGTGGAGTCTGGGAGGGGGCCTCAGGGACAAGGGACTACCTACAGACTGATGCTGGATGGAAGGATCTCCACTGTACCAGTCTCCTAGGAAGGACATCCTGTCTGCAGGGAAGGAGCCAGCCTAGCATAAGGCCTAAAAGCAGCTGCAAGCTACAGGACAGTGTGAGTACTCCTACATCCTCTGGGTCAGAGAAGAGAGAGGGCGATCAGAGTCTTATGAACGTTCGGACCTGGGGAGATGGAGACGAGGGGGAGCTGCGGCTGTACAGACAGGTGTCTGATCTGTGGGAGGTGTTCTCTCCTCCTTTCTGCTTGTTCCAGCTGCTGAGATGGGGGGGAGAGGTGGAGGGGGCAGAGACAAGCTTCCCTTTGATACAAGTACATTAGGGGGAGGAGTTCAGTTACTATAGATTAAAAATGCCACAAAAAAGGCTCGAATTGAGCATTTTTAGGCAATCTTTTTGATGTCTACGGGGCTCAAAACACTCAATTCTGCCTGAAAAGTAGCTCATGTATTTTTTTTGCAGACAGACGTCCATCTACAAGCGACAGTAGGCACAGATGTGAACAGGGACTATTGAAAACAATGGGATTCGGCTTGTTGAGTGTTTTGGAGCTTTGAGCTTCACTTTATAAAATGCTCAGATGTCAATGGGGCCTAAAAGGAAGTGCGCAGGGCTATTCTCTAATGAATGAAAGGAGATTTATGCATCTTGCAGGGTGACGGGCGAAAAACAGGAGGAATCCCTGAATTTCAGGGCGAGTATGATCACTTAAATCTCTGCGCTATTTGATAAATAAGCCTCTTTGTGCCACATATACCTCAAAGCCAAAATCCAGGAATAGTCTGCTTTTAATACTCTCATTGGGCCAGCTTGGTAACATGTCATTATGGATAGGTCACCTAGGGATTCTCAAATTCATCATGAATCAGAGTGATTCCAATTTGTCAACGCCATCACAGAATATCTTTATACTGTTTTGCAGTTTATTTTTATTTCATGAAATCATGAGTAAATAATTGGATACTTTACACTTTAATAAACTTGATCACAGTATTTTTTGTAGTTGTATATACAGTATATTATATCTTTAGGATATACACACAGCAGTTGAGCAGATATAGTTTAGGGGGTGAAGGGGTAAGAACATACCATTATCATGATTTTTATATAAACTGCAAGAATAGCAAGCCCTCTTTGATTTATGGCAGTTATGTGTTTCGACATTGTTATATGAAAGAGAAGAAAACATGTTTTGAAATGTCCAGGATACTTATGTAGAATATTTATTTATAGGTCAGAAATGCAATTCAGAGGATGAAAGAAAAAAAAAGGGCCCTATCATTCACGGTAAGTTAGAATAAAATGTTTTTCTAAACTAATAACAAAAGAGTAATATCGAGTTTCAAGTAACACAGTTGTTGCCTAGTATACATTTCTGCAGACCTTTTATCTATATCATAATTTGTATGTAGAAGAAACGTTGGTCAGTTTTACATTTGTAATGTTTTAAAGTATAGAAGTGAATTGTTTTTTTTTACAAAATCTTTACACGTAAGCAAAAGAGGATGCTTTCAAAACAAAGTGGCCAATATATAATTTAAAAAAATGATTGATACAGCTACATTCAACAATTCAACATGCTGCATTAACTACATTTACCCTATGTTCAGTGCTGATTCAATGACAACATCTAAAATTAGGTGAATGTAAAGTCATGTTTAAAATTCTGTATATATGGTGAAAAGTTAGTGCACAGATAAATAATTTTTAGAGACACATGATGTAAAGATTGTGATTGTGCAATGAATCTGTACAAATAGCATTGCATGTGGAAGGATATGATTTGGAACACAGTCCAATGGCCCGTCCTTGTCCTTTATCTTTTTATTTAAATATTATCAAGTTAATGCACATTGTGCTTTAGAAAGATATGTCAAATAACCTTTGCCTTGCTAATTACTAAAACCATGTATTCATAATCCACTTAGTCAATCTTGAGTCCCAATTCTTTTGCTAGATTTTCATTATGTTATTGCCTAATTTTCTTTCATGCCACATATTTTTCTTATGGTCTGTGTTTTATCCAGTGTGCCAGTTGGGGTTCTGTGTGTACCCGAGAAACTTGAGTAATCAAGGGCAATTATCTGCTACACTTTCTAGAGGAGGTAGTTGCCTTCAAAGAAGATTTTAAATCCAGCCATAGATGGATCAAATCTTGACTGGTTCATCAGGGACTGGCTGAGGTTTGGTCCATGTATGTGCAGGCTGATTGTACCCAAGTCAATCCCAAATATGGACTTGGGTACAACCAACCTGTAACATTTTTAGCTTGTGATTAATGCCTTCGGCGCTAGCAGTAATCATTGTGTTCTGTCACTTGGGAAGGTTCCCCACTCCTTCCCCCAAACCAGAAGAACACAAAAGCTCCGCAGGAGACATTTCCCTATCAACACTGACTGTGTTGATGGAGGAAATCAAGTGATTTTCTTTTCTTTTTGATTAATCTATGGCTTGCCTTAAACTTTAGCTGCCCTTTGGGAGGACCCATTGGTGACAGCTGTGAAAATAAGAACTAATGTTTTTCTATATAGAAGAGTATTTTTCAGACAGTTTCTTATAGCTTTCTAACTGTCCATTTTCTTCCAACAAGTGCAAATGGACACATTACTGCAAGAACATTTTAATCTGATGCTAGTTGCTTCAAAAACAGTGTTATATGCTAGCAGACCTTAGGGTCTATGTTGCAGACATGTGCACTGTGGTTATATGCTTACTCAGAGCCTTGAGGAGATCAGCAATGCGCTCTCTAAGGCACAGGAAAAACTTAAAGTGTTACAAAACCCGCAACAGTAAAATCAGTCGGCATATTGAATAAAGCAAGCTTGTTATACTCACTGTGGAACCTAAGGGGTTAATCCTCTGCTTTGTGTAAAAAGGCTGTTTGATCCTTTTTTTCTCTTTTCCTTCCCTTTTTCAAGTGACCACGTCTTATCTCCAGACTGAACCGTAGGCATGCACATGTTCAGTTTGGTGTGTATTGCTAGAGAGTTTTTTCTTCTTGGTAGAGTACACGTGATTAGCACAGGGCCAATCAGCACTGTCCAGACAGATGACAGGGGATTTCCATCCTCCTAGAGCAAAAAGAAAAGTCCTCCTACAAGGTTTACATAGTGCTGGGCTGGACACAGATAAAAGTCACAAGACTGCTCTAACTGCTGATGAGAAAAGGTATTTAGCAGTTTATATTTACTAAAATAATTGCATTGCCATGTTCTGTGTACTGTGGGAGACTAGGTAGAGTGAATGCAGGGTCCTGGGTTTAGTAACTCTAAGTGCTTTGTGTTGGGGGAAATGTGTTACTAGCAGGATAACAGTGTTGTCCTGCTGTGATCTGCTCCTTAGGTATGATAGCCTGGGTCCTACACCATCATTTTGGTCCACCTCCTTCATAGTGAGCTGACTGCCACTTCTGGGTTCAAGTAGGTGGCCAATAATGAAGTGTGCCAGCTCCAGCCTCCTACCTGTCCTACTCCTGCAGCCTCTTATGGATATGCAATCATAAAACTTAAAAAAATGTAAATGTGGCATGGGGAGGTAGACTTGCTAGCGCATGAAGGTGCACTTGAAATACTAGAAAGAAAAAGGTTGATTTGTAATAAGAGCCAGGCAGGATAAGAATTTTTTTTTAGTTTATTGCTTAATTTATGTATCACTGGAAATGATGATAATGTTTTAATTATAACCTGGCAAGTGTAATAAAGCTAGTGAGGCTAGTTTAAGGTTGGTATGTAGTGTGGACTCCCCGTATAAACCCCCATCACAAACATATAAGCTTTGTCTACCCCAAGAGACTGCTAAAGTAAGGCTGCTGTCATAACAATGACAGCAATTTTTGCACGATACAGTTAAAATGTTGAATGGTGTTTATTCTGGTGAATATGCAAATATGTATATATTCCCAATGATATGTATTGCAAACACACTATTTGTGCAGTGAAGGTATAGTGAATGTTAAATTTTCCACATTACAATATGCCCATTAAGCCAGCCATAGATGATTCAAATCTTGTCTAGCTTCAGCACTGACCAGACTAAATTTTAATCATCTATGGGCAGGCTGATTGTACCCAAGTCGATTGCTGTACAACAAGCGTGTTGGATATTACATATGATTATTGCTAGTGTTACCTCTGTGACGAAGCCCAGGTGGGCGAGGCACAACTCATTAGGGGGCGTGGCTAGAGGGGCGGCTGAGGCCATCACACAAATCGATCTGACTGGGCTGGTTTCAGCTGTGGCCATTTCCTTTTATTGCTAGCGGCTATTATAGCCGCTACCAGTAGTCACTGTGTGTTCTCCCGACGGGGATAGTTCCTCCCGTCCCTGCTGGGAGAACACAATAGCTCCACAGGACGGATGTTCCCACCAATACAGTCAGTGACTGAAGAGATTTTCTTTCCTGCAACGCTAGGTTGAAGAAAGAAAATCGCATCAAATATGGCTTGCCTTAGTTGCCGACTGCTTGGATTTCTAACAACAGCATTCCTATTTACCCATGGGCTTTGATAAAAAGAAAACTATATTAGTCTGTGTCTACTAGCAGAGAGAGGAGTATTGTCCCTCCTCTGACTCATTCAACTGCTTGTATGTAATCTGAACTGCTTTTTAGGTCTATACATAACATGCTATTCAATGTTATTCAATGGATAGCAGAAAATCACTACATAGAAATGCAAAAAAAGAGCAGCCTGGGGTTTGCCATTGATAATATTATTATACAGTATTTATTATTATACAGTATTTATAAAGCGCCAATAGTTCGCTCAGCACTGTATAAAGCTTAAGCTGCACCCCTATGAGTACGAGCTTTTGCTCGAAACGCGTCAGTGAAAGCTACAGTAGGTCGGACGCCACGCCGCGGGCGCCACAAGGGGCCCCGGTGGCCATCTTTGTTTACATCTGGGTCAGTAAATTTTTTTATTCAGTGGATTTTCTCTGCTATCCTATGCCTGTATATTAAATAAAAATACTTTAAGGATATCACACTATGTGGCCCTCTCTGTTTATTTGAGTTCTGGTGAGAACCAGCCAGATCTACAGAGCAGCCGCATCTATCCGAGTACCAGGCAGTGAAAGTCATGCTGACCAGATCTGACCAGACCAGTTTGATGACACTGGAGGTCCAGTGATATTATATACAAATGCGCATAAAGATTGTGTATCTGGTGAGTGCGCAATCTTTACATTACTTATCACCTTGTGGTTCCAAATATTGGACGTCTGAGGATCATCTCGGATCTTAAGAGCACCCCTCCATTGGACTCTTTTATTTATTTTGCACTTCCTTCACTTTATAGCCACCATCCAGTGGCTTTATTTTATTAGCACACAGTCACTGTCTATTATGTGAGTTTGATTTTGAATTTCATTATTGTCTGCTAGTTTGTATAGCGCTGCACCTCCCCCTCCTTTTGTATATCTACGTCTCTGAAGGTTGTATATGGTGCCTTTTTTGGTGTACAGCTGCTGTTTATTTGTATATCTATTCAAGCGCTCACTTACTCTGTTTTTTTTTTTAAATAAATGAAACATTTCTTAAAAATGCTAAATTACTAGACAGAAAGGAAAATGTAATATGGAAATGTACATTTCTTTTAAGGGATTTCTAAGAAGAACAGAAATTCCCTAGTTATTTTGGTGTATCTCTGTAATAACAGAGTTCTTACCTTCGACACTTCAGGAAACAAAATTAGATCAATGTCTGATTATTGTTTGCAGTCAGACATACAGTAGATCTCAGGCTACATTAACATAAACCTGACAACAATTTGACTGTACATTGGGGAACATAAACAGGATAACAAATATAAAAACAATTATCATAAGGATTGTTTTGCTTTGCCACAGTACCACATTTTACAAGTGGTAGTGAAAGTGAAATCTAAGTTATTTCATGTTATAATTACATAGTTAGGTTAAAAAAAAGTCCATCTAATTCAACCAATAGAAAAAAAAAAATAAAACCTCCATATGCACAAACCTATACCCACATGTGATCCAGAGGAAGGCAAAAACCCCAATAAAGCTGATCCAGTTTGCTTCTTACTGATCCCCTGGGAGGCAGATGAATATTTCCGGGATCAACTACCCAGACCGAGATATATTTTATGCATTTAGGAATGCATCCAGACCTTTTTTTAAGACCATCTACTGAGCTGGCCAGAACCAGTTTTTGATGGAGTCTATTCCACATTTTCACAACTCTTACTGTGAAGAAACCTTTCCGTATGTGGAGGTAAAATTTTCCTCCAGAAGTAAAGCGTGCCCCCTTATTCTTTGTAATGACCTTAAAGTGACCACTGATGTATTTATATATGTTGATCATATCCCTCCTTAATCTCCTCTATTCAAGAGAGAATAAATTCAGCTCCTCTAATCTTTCCTCATAGCTGAGCTCCTCCATGCCTCTCATCAGTTTGGTTGCCATTCTTTGCGCTTTCTCCAGTTCTCCAATATCTTTTTTGGGAACTGGTGCCCAAAACTGAACTGCATATTCCAGAAGCGGTTTTACTAATAATTTGTTCAGGTAAAATTATATCTCTCTGTTGGCAATCTATTCCTCTTTTTATACAAGAAAGGATTTTACTCGCTTTGAAAACTACAGATTGACATTGCATGCCATTATTAAGTCTATGATCCTCCAGATCTCCCAGATCCTTCTCCACCCTTGACTCCCCCAGCTGTTCTCCTAGTATATATGATGCATGTGTATTTTTAGTCACCAAGTACATAACTTTACATTTAGCAAAATTTGCTCAATTAAATGTGGTTGGCTTGTAAGTTGGAGACATCCTGTAACCACGTATTCCATTGCATATGTTGGTATCATATGCAAACACTGCAATAATATTTTTAACCACTTGCCGTTCACCCTATAGCAGATTTACTGCTATAGGGCAGATGTTCTGTGCAAAATCACGTATATAAACCTCCGCTGTAGGGGGCATCTCTGTGCCGCCTCTTCTGCTATGATGGTTCACAGCAGAGTCCGATCAACAGGTGCCGGCCAATAGTGGAGCTCCGGCACCCATTGATTACCGAGCAGACTAAAACAACACAGCTCAGTAAACAAGGCAGAGCTGTGTTCTGGCAGTGGCAATATGCTAGATTTTCTTTCCCTGCAAGGTAGGGAGTATAATCTAGCAAAATACCTAGTAAAAACTCATTACTATGTACACAAAACACATAGCTAGGCACAAAGTTAACCTTTTGATTGCCCTAGGTGTTTACCCCTCATTAATACAGTGACAGTATATATTTTTGGCACTGATCACTGTCACTGGTTCCCACAAAGTGCCAGTTAGTGTCAGACTGTATGCCGCAATATCTTAGAGCTGCAATAAGTCGCTGAACGCCACTATTACTAGTATAAAAAAAAAACATTCCAGTATACATAACATAATTTGTAGATGCTATAAATTTTGCGCAAACCAATCAATATAGGCGTATTGTCATTTTTGTTACCAAAAATATGTAGCAGAATATATTTTGGCCTACATTTATGAATACATGTTATTTTTTAATGGATAAGTTTTGTAGCAATAAGTAAAAAAATATTGTTATTTTTTACATCTCTGTATTTTTTTATTTACAGCACAAAAACTAAAAAAACCCAGAGGTAGTCAAATACCACCAAAAGAAAGCTCTAATGATAGGAAAAGAATGATAGAAATTTCATTTATGTGTAGCATTGCATGGCCGCGCAATTGTCAGTTAAAGTAATGCAGCGCCGTATAGCAAAATATGGCCAGGTCATGAAGGGGGGTAAATCTTCCGAAACAGAAGTTGTTAATCTTAAAACTCTATATACGTTACACCTGTGTTAAAAAGTAAGAGTCCCAGCATTAAACCTTGGGGTACACCACTAATGACCTTAGATCACTCAGAGTATGAATCATTATTATATAGTATTTATATAGCGCCAACAGTTCGCTCAGCGCTGTACATTACAATGGGGGACAATACATGAGACAGTACAATAACAATACAGGTGTCCTTTTATGACACAGAGAATAGCTGCGATTCAGAGGATTGCAGCTATTCTCTGGTCATTCACAGTTTATGACACTCAGGAGATCAGCGGAGAACATGTTCAGCCCTTCACTGGAGATCTGTGTTCTCCCTCCAGATTCTCCAGCCCAGAGCTGGAGAATCGGAGGGACCGCAAACTAAGCAGCGATAATTTACCTCTGCTTAGTAAACTGATCTTTTACTGTAATCTCACGAGATTATAGTAAAATCAGCCATTTTCCAGCGTTTGTAGACCGTTCTCCAGAGTTTGGAGACCGTACTCCCTTCGTTCGGAGAACTGCTTCATAAAAGGCATTCACAGGAGAACTGTGTTCTCCGAGAATGCCGGAGACCTGAGCAGCGATGATTTACCGCTGGTTCATAAACGGACACCACAGTGCGATACACGAGGGGTTCGAGGGCCTTGCTCCTTGATCTCTACTCTTGGTAGCCAAGCACCTTTTAACTTCAACTTGTCCAATTAAGCCTTGACAAAAAAAAAACCTTGGAAGCTGATTGGTTTCTGCACCAAATTTTGCACTCTCTAGTTTTAGTAAATCAACCACAGTGACCTGGAAATAACAGAGCTCAACTCTTTGCTAGCCCACGAGTGTGAGCCACCTGGTCTAAGTGCTTTATTCAAGTTTATTTCATTTCTGGACCATGTCAGATTTCAGCCATTGTGGATCATTTGGGGTTATGCCAATACTATGTCCATTAAGAACTTGAGCATGAGAGAGATCAGACCTTGGACTTGCACTAAACAGCCAAAATAAGATGTAGAAGGCTAACCCATTTCCAATTACATAATTAACGATCACTTTTGTTTGAACTGACCCTTTAACGTGGTCATTCCATATAGCTACTGTTTATGTTGGTTCTATTCCATATTCTGCTTCCTGTCAATATAAAGTAGATATTAATTAACTATAGTATATCTTGTACTTATTTTGTATACTAGATTAAATTCTGAATAAATGCCATAGGGATCTGTTAACCTTTACATGTTTGTTTTGTTATTTTGCAGATTTTATTTATATAGCTTCATTTACAATTTTATTTTGTTTTCAGAATTGTTCTCAGCCTACAAACTATTTATCCAGTCCAAGGAATACCATATGGGACAATGGAAAACCAAGGCTCACCCCACCGAAAAGTAGTTCATCCACTATGCCTATAAGGAATACATCAGGCAAGGGTAACTTTTTTCCTGTTTTGTTTTTTAATGAATGTTGCAGAGATGAATGAAGCCGGCACCTGCCAGCATCCTAATAACCAATGACTCAATTCCTGCTGTCAGCTGGTAATCCCTCGCTGACAGCAAGGAGTTGTCTTTGGTTGTTAGGACCATGACTGGGTCCTTAACAGTCTGCAAAAATGTCTTTAGTGTATTTCAGTTGAAGCCTATGGGGACCAAGGAAGCACAGTGCTCTTTTTTAAAAAGGTGCCATGCTGTGCTGCATTGATGTGAACAGACAGCATAGAGAATACAGTTGCAAGAAAAAGTATGTGAACCCCTTGGGATTACGTGGAGTTTTGCATGAATTGGGCATAAAATGTGCTCTGAACGTCATCTAAGTCACAATAAGTCTGCTGAACATAATACTACACAAACATTAGATGTTGCCATGGTTTAATTGCACATAACATGTAAACATTCACAGTGCAGGGAGGAAAAAGTATGTGAGGCCCTAGCTTAATGACTTCTCCCAGAGCTAATTGGAGCCAGGAGTGAGCCAACCTTGACTCCAATCAGTGTGATGATATTGGATGTGTTGCTGACAGCTGTCCTGCCCTTAAAACACACACACCTGTTTTGGGTTTACTGGTTTCAAGAAGCACTGTCTGATGTGAACCATGCCTCGCAGAAAAGAGCTCTCAGAAGACCTACGGTCAAGAATTGTTGACTTACATGAAGCTGGAAAGGGTTACAAAAGTATCTCCAAAAGCCTTGATGTTCATGTGTCCACGGTAAGACAGACTGTCTACAAATGGAGAAAGTTTAGCACTGTTGCTACTCTCCCTAGGTGTGGCCGTCCTGTAAAAATGACTGCAAGAGCACAGCACAGAATGCTGCATGAGGTAAAGAAGAATCCCAGAGTGTCAGCTAAAGACCTACAAAAATCTCTGGCACATGCTAACATTTTTGTTGACACATCTACAATAAGGAAAACATTAAACAAGAATGGAGTACATGGGAGGACACCACGGAAGAAGCCATTGCTGCCCAAAAAGAATATTGCAGCACGTTTGAAGTTTGCAAAAGAGCACCTGGATGTTCCACAGCACTACTGGCAAAATATACTGTGGACAGATGAAACCAAGATTGAGTTGTTTGGGAAGAACACACAACACTATGTGTGGAGAAAAAAAGGCACAGCACACCAACATCAAAACCTCATCCCCACTGTAAAACATGGCGGAGGGAGCATCATGGTTTGGGGCTGCTTTGCTGCCTCAGGGCCTGAACGGATTGTTGTCATTGATGGGAAAATGAATTCCAGAGTTTATCAAGACATTTTGCAGGAAAATGTAGGACCATCTGTCCGCCAACTGAAGCTCCGCAGAGGATGGGGAATGCAACAGGACAATGACCCAAAGCATACAAGTAATTCAACAAAACAATGGCTGCAACAGCACAGAATACGCCTTCTGGAGTGGCCCAGTCAGAGTCCTGACCTCAACCCGATTGAAATGCTGTGGCATGACCTTAAGAGAGCGATTCACACCAGACATCCCAAGAATATTGCTACACTGCAACAGTTTTGTGAAGAGGAGTGGTCCAAAATTACTTTAGATCGTTGTGCAGGTCTGATCTTCAACTACAGGAAACGTTTGGTGGAGGTTATTGCTGCCAAAGGAGGGTCAACCAGTTATTAAGTCCAAAGGTTCACATACTTTTTCCTCCCTGCACTCCCTGTGAATGTTTACATGTTATGTGCAATTAAACCATGGCAACATTTAATGTTTGTGTAGTATTATGTTCAGCAGACTGTGTTCTTCTATTGTTGTGACTTAGATGACGTTCAGAGCACATTTTATGCCCAATTCATGCAAAACTTCACGTAATCCCAAGGGGTTCACATACTTTTTCTTGCAACTGTAATGAGATTTTCACTGTCATGCGATGCAAGTCACATCTGAAACTGCACTCGCATGAACCAGGCCTTTAAAAAAGAACAGCCATCTCATCTAAGGGCTAGTAAGTTGTAATGTATTACATTTTTTATTTTGGTTTTAGATACACTGTCCCTATAATTAAAAAATGCAGTAGGCATAAGAAAGCCCTGGGCTGCCATACAAGACAAAATAATTATGCTCTATCAGCCAGTGCAAAGCAGACCTTTTCACTTATCTGAAAATTAAAATAACAGATTGCTGCTAGATTGGGTGTCGTCAGTGCTTGTAAACAACTGGTACAGACCATGGGTTGCAACTCACCATAGGAGACAGAGGTACCTTTTTTTATTCTGTAGGGCAGCCCAAGAATGTTCTCTAAGTCTTAGCCCACCTTTAAAAATACAATAACCTGTACTGTTCAAGATGTGTCAAAATATGAAAGCAAAACGCAAAGGACTGGTCACCAGTAGGCTCCCTTTATCAGATATTTTCCCAATTACTGACTTAAAATGCCTTGTTCTGCACTGTTATGTGTGTGATAGCACTGGACTGATAGAAGTGAACATTGGTTTCAATGGATCTACCATAATGTAATTATTTCTTCAAATAAGCAGATCTATGACTGAAGTATAGTATGGGTGGACTCTGTTCTGGTACTAGGCTGCTACCTCACTGATAATGATAAAGTAAGCACTTGCCAGATGCGAAATTCTTGGAACAAAAGTCTATCTCACTTTGAGGGCTTTTTGAAACATTTAAAGTGATTGGAAAGGATATTTTTTTGGGTTTTTTTTTTAACAATAAACATGTTATATTTACTTGCTCTCTGAAATGGTTTTGCACAGAGTGGCCCCAAACCTCCTCTGTTAGGGTCCCCTGTGGGTGCTCTTGGCTCCTCCTTTCTTCCAAGTGCCCCCCATAGCAAACTGCTCTGCTTTCTATGCGGGCTCAATCCCCAGCCGGGCTGTGTCCGTCTGTTGACACACAGAGCAGCTTGGCCCCACTCCCTCCTCACAAGATTTGATTGAGTGCAGCAGGAGACAATGGCTCTTACTGCTGGCCTTGAGTCCTGTGAGGTGAGAAAGAGCAGTGCTGCTGTTCTCGGGAGCAGAGGTGGATCAAGATCAGGCTCAGGTAAATATTTAGGGGTGGGCTGCACTGGGGGAGAGTTGAATATGAAAGTTTTTTAACCTTAATGCAGAGAATGTATTATGTTAAAAAAAACCTTTAGCCTTTTCATCACTTTCGGGGTTAAGAGCATCAGATACAGCCACAACACATTTCAGGGAAAAAAAAAAAACGTCCCCTTCTTCAGGGCTTAAGCAGGGGATGTTATTAGAATCAGCTACCTTCAGGGATGTTAGCAGATGCTAGTCTTCATCCTGCCTTAACACAGATCCCTTAGTGCATTATGTCATGATTCTATTAAAATTGATTGCTCAAGCCCTGGAGACTTACCTCACTCAAAACTGCTGTATCTGATGCTCTTAATCATTAAATGTTTCAAAAAGTCCTTTAAGTGAGATGAACTTTTGTACCAAGCACTCCTCCATACACATCCAAAAATTTGTTCTTCACTGTGATGAAAATGATGACAATGATGAAAAAAGCACCAGTGAGGTGAAGGAAGCACAGATACACAAAATAAAGAAAGCAGAAGTCATCCCACTTTAATTTTTATGTACAGTAGGAAAATTTTAATGGGTGCAGGAGACTAGGCTTACTGCAACCAATCCAAAATACTTTTAATTTGTTTAAAAAAGAATCACTTATATCAGTGGCCTCCAAACTGTGACCGGTGAACCAGATGTGGCTCTTTGCTTACCTTTATCCGGCCCTTGGGGCACCATTCTATCTATTGATAACAATGATGGGGCACTATTCCTCCCACTGACACCAAGCTGGGTCCTTGTTTACTGTCACGGATGCTGGGGCATTTTCTACTTTCACTAGTCACAGTCCGGACCCCCTAAAACCTGAAGGACAGTAATCTGGCCCTTTGGTTTAGAAAGTTTGAAGACCTCTGACTTATATTGTCTGCCTTATTTTCACCAAAGCTACAGCTTCATGTTAATTCAATCTTATGTCTTCATATGTGTTTCAGGAAATGTAGTGGTCAAGCACCCTGTAAACATATATTCCATCCTGTCGACAGACAACACAGTGAGTAGAAACTTCTTTAATTTGTCTTGTTCTTTTTTCCTCCATCACAACCGACCTTCAAATGTGGTGGGCTCTTTAAGCAATAGAGAGGTAGGAGGGGGCAAACAATCAATTACTTTTCTGCTTCAAATTAGAATTTGTATATTAGAGCGCCCTGGATCTCATGGGTTATTGGGCACCTGTTTGAGAAAAGGCAGAAATGTGTATGAAAAATGAGAAAGCTCACTTAAACTAATGGTTGCAGTAGTTTAGCAAATTTCTAGGTTCAAGGTTATAAAAAAGAACATGTCGATACGAATACTTTGAAAATCAAATGATGAAAAAAATGTAAATGATATACTTATGAACTCACACTTTCACTATTAAATATGGTATTTACATGTTTATTCAGGTTAAAATTAATTATGTTTTAATATAAAATTGATATTGAAATGCTTTTATTTACTAAGTGTAAACTTTGGGGCCCCATGCAATTTGTTTCTAAAGTTTTTAAGATGGTTTGAAAGCTAATTTCCAGTTTTAAAAAATTATTTCCTATTCCATGTACCTTTAGCTAATCACATTTTATAAACTAAATTTTAAAAATTTCTTTTTTAACTGAAATCAGTTACATGACAGGCTGGGTCTGAAATTTTCTTTTCAGGTCTGTAGTGTGATAAGTTCCTTCTTGCAGTACCCACATCCCAACACCTCTTGGTGCAGTGCCCACAGCCCCTAGTGCCATGGATGCTGTCCATTTCAGCCTATTATGGTTACAGCACTTTTCCCCACAGCTATACAGACATTCAAATAGTAGAAATACACAACCAGGATAGTGGACTGGATTAGATGACAAGATTTCTTGGGTTCCCTATCATCAAGCTGAGCAGAGGTCATTGCCTGTTAATGTCCTTGTTTATATGGTGATGTGCACTTCTTAAAACATCATTACAGAGACTCTTTTCTGTATGATGAAGCTTCACTGTTGTGATGACACCATTAAGTTAGTAACTAAATGCATTTTTTATGTGAAGGTAATGTAAGCAAAGGCTAAAGGGTGAGATACACACTGTACACACACACATACATCAGCCATAGCTTTACAACCACCCACCTAATATTGAGTAGGTCCCCCTTTTGCCACCAGAAAAGTCCAGACCAGTTGAGGCATGGACATTACTAGACCTCTGAAGGTATGCTGTGGTATCTGATACCGAGCCGTTAGTAGCAGATCCTTTAAGTCTTGTAAGTTGTGAGGTGGGGCTTCCATGGATGAATCTTGTTTTTCTAGCACATCCCACAGATGCTAGATGGACTGGGATCTGGAGAATTTGGAGACTAAGTCAACACTACAAACTAGTTGTCATGTTCCTCAAACCATTCTTGAACCATTTTTGCAATGTGACATAGTGCCTTATCCTGTGGAAAGAGGCAACTGCTATCAGGGAATATTGTTTCCATGAGGGGGTGTATTTGGTCAGCAAAATGGTTTATGTAGTTGATGCGTGTCAAATCATCCACATCCACATAAATGGCAGGAACACGGTTTTCCAGCAGAACTTTGCTGTGAGCATCACACTACCTCTGCCAGCTTGTTTTCTTCACATACTGCATCCTGGTGCCATCTCTCCCTTTGATAAGTATGTCAGTAATGTGTTTACTTGCTCTTGAATATATCATACCAGCTTTCAGACTTTCAGATACCATTGTAATGGGATAATCATTGTTATTCACTCAGTGATCATAAAGTTATGGCTGACCAGTGTATGTCCTCCCAAATATATTGTAAATTCATCTATATCATTTTTTGTATATTAACACATATATTGATATATACTGATGATATGTTGGTGTTCGATAGCTGAGCAGTCGGTGTCAGTGATGGTAGTGAAATATATACTGTATATGTTACATTTATATGATGATGTTGATGGTGACGATAATGACCCTCCTGCCCCATTTCCCCCATTATCTCTTGTATGGTAAGGAACCACTGCTTTAGATTAGCAAGTGCTGTTTCGAACATAAAATTAGGAGGTATTTTACTGCTAATGTCATGCTTCTGCTGCTAACATGAGCCTCAAGATGCAACATGCCACCTAGACTAGTCATCGACTGGGAATGAAGGATCTTTATGCACTGGCCCTGCTTTACTACTGCAGTGCATTAGTCAATGGCAGGTTTTATTTATTTTTATAGGTAGTTGAGCAAGATAATTTTTAATTCCATTCAGTGAAAAAGTAGCAAATCAGTTGATAAATTATTTACATGGGCCTATTTCCATCATAGGATCTTCTGAGGCAGATGCTTTTATTAGAACATCCATCAATAGGATCTGTGAAAATGCCTTAGAGCATCCAACATGTCCTTTTATCCAGGGCCACATGTAGATAAAACATCCTGCAAAGGAACTGGGGAGAGAGTGCAGAGAACAGCAATCAAACCGATAAAAGTCAGCTATGGATAAGCTCAGCTATAATGAAAGATTCAACTGAAGTGGATAGATTCTTTTTTGAGAAGAGGCGATTAAGGGTTTATATGATCAGCATGTATGAATTACATAAGTGGTCCATTTGGTGAATCTGATGCAAAGGTATTCCCATTACAAATGACAAGGGAGCATTCTTTATGTCTGGAGTTAAAGAAATGTAACCACCATACAAGTAGGGGTCTATGTGGGTTTAATTACTTATTTTATTCTGTTGGTTTGACTAGATGGACTTACTGTATGTATTTTTTCAACCTATGTAACCATGTTTTTGCAAGAAGCCTAACTGATTTGTATCTTGGATTACAGAATAATTGGCATCTATGTTGTAGAGATGAGGACAGTGGGAGGGTTTAAGTAGTTTAGGCAAAAACAGTACGGCAAGGCTGACACCACTCATGATAAATAGACCAAATAGACCCTCAATGATGAGGTTGTATTAGGGCTACCCAGTGCAAACAATAGTGCCCATGGTCTAAGACCTCAAGAGTATTAGGTCTCATTTGTAGACATTGAGAAAAACATTAGATCAGGCTACAAAAATGTGGTAGGTTGTGAGTCCAAGGCAGGACTCTTCTGTACTTGCAGAATCTTTAAATGGATAAAACATGGCAAAACGTGTATTTTTCCCCATTAGAGGTTAGGATGCCTATGTTGTCCTTCCTTATCAGCTTACAAATACAGAAATAAGGACAGGGGCTCTAGAGGACTAAAACTGATTAGAAAAAAAAAAACAATACTTGCCATTTCTGACAGATATTTTTTTGTACTTGCAGAAGGGCACTTCATATCGTGTACTTTAACTTGCTGTGACATACACTTTAAGAAGTATATCACAATATCAATTTATACACTCACTGGTCACTTCATTAGGTATGTAAATACAGGTATATGGGACCGCTTATAAGAAAACTTCAAAGCAGCAAGCACAAGAGATAGTGATAGCAAATCTCAGAGTAGCATATATGTATATAGTGCAGTGCTAAAGATTTTATGTCATGTAAATATTAGATCAACATATTAATAAAACATCACATATAACACTAGTGCAAGTTGAATAATAATTATCTTTCAATGAGACATAGGTGCAAAAATATCAATGTATAACTCAGTGAAACAATGAACAAATAAAATCCATCCAGTATATGTCAATGTGACAAACAGTCCATTAGGTGAACAAATAATGTGTCAGTTACACTACAAGACACAGCAACAACATATTCAATTCCAAACAGGTGCTATGGGATCCAGTGAAACATTTCACCACCACACTCACCCAAAAACTACTGGTATAGTAGCAGTAATCGCTGATCACTCAGATGAAATACTCAGAATCCTTAGCCAAAAGGACTTATCCTAGGAAAAAAGCTCACCACAGGGAGCCCAGAAAGCGATATATAGTGTATTACTTTTATTAACCACTTCCAGTCTGGACACTTTTACCCCCTTCCTGTCCAGTCCAACTTTCAGCTTTCAGTGCTATCACACTTTGAATGACAATTGTGCGGTCATGCAACACTGTACCCATATGCATTTTTTTTAGCATTTTGAAAAAGTCCAAACATTTTGAAAAAAAGTGTTTTTCTTATAACATTTTGCAAATAAATAGTATTTCATCATAAATATTTTTTTTTATTATTTTTATTTATTTATACATACTGTCACCCTAGCAGTACAGTGTCACCATGGTGACACTGTACTACTTGTGGGGGGTGATGAAGATTTTTTTTTTGAGAACTACTGTGTGAGCTGTGATTGGTCACAGCTTGTCACATGGTACAAGGCTGTTGTGAATAGCCTTGTACCATGTGACCTCTGTGATCATTCTCAGATTTCACACGTAGTAAGCAATGATGTCAGAAGTGACATCTTGCTTACTACACTGCATGTGATCACTGATTGGCCAATCAGTGATCACATGATCGGGACCTCGCACAGAGGTCCCGTACGACGATCGGTGTTCCACTGTGTTCAGAGGACACAGCGGGCACCGGATCACGGTGCTGCGCTCTCCCAGTATATGTAAACTCAAAGTTAGTTATAAATTTACGCCAAAATGTATTCTGCTACATGTTTTTGGTAAAAAAAATCCCAATAAGTGTATATTGATTGCTTTGTGTGAAAGTTATAGCGTCTACAAACTATGGTATAGATACTGCAATTTACGCCATTTTTTTGCTATACAGAGCTGCGCTAGTTTAACTGACAATTGCGCGGTCATGCAATACGGTACATAAATGAAATGTATTTCCTTTTTTCACACAAACAGAGCTTTCTTTTGGTGGTATTTGATCACCTGTGCACTTTTTATTTTTGGCGCTATAACCAGAAAAAGTTTTGAAGAAAAAAAAAATGTTTTTGAAAAAACATTTTCTCATTTCGGTCATACAAAATATCCAAAAAAAACTAAAATTTCATCATAAATTTAGGCCAAAATGTATTCTGCTACATGTTTTTGGTTAAAAAAATTCCAGGAAGTGTATATTGATTGCTTTGTGTGAAAGTTATAGCGTCTACAAACTATGGTATAGATAATGGAATTTACACAGCTTTTTTACTTTCTGAC